GAACAGAGGAGGCGAAGAAGAAGGAGGAGATGACGAAGGAAAAAGAAGAAGAAAACGTATTAGTTAGTAGCTACAGCATTATTAGTAGTCGATATATTGGTGGTGCTGGTGGTGGTGGTAGTAGTAGTAGCAGCAGCAGCAGTAGTAGTAGTAGTAGTAGTAATAGTAGAAGTAGAAGTAGTGGTAGCAGTGGTAGTAGCAGTAGTAGCCGTAGGAAGAGCAGAGGAAGAAGTCACTAAATGGTTTGCGAGATACAATTGCTACTACGCTAACACAACTTTTTAAGCAATTTGTAGACTATCCAAAAATCAAAAGGAAAGAAAGAGAAAATGAGGGGTGGAGAATAAGAAGAAGAAAAAAGGAACGAATGAAAAGAAGAAGCTGAAGTAGAAGAAGAAGATGAAGAAGAAGGAGAAGAAGAAGAACCAAGTGCTTAGTACTGTATTCAAGATACGCTAAGTTATGTTATCACAATCGACGTCTTTGCACATTGGGCATCCCCATACTTGCTCAGTCCTCCGATGCAGCAGCCACTTCAAGGTACCTCTACTTATTGTTCCCATGAGGAGTTGGTTATAGTATCTCCTGTCTTCACCTCGAAGACGGCATTGTTGAGATTCACCATGCTTAACTTTTCGGTCACGAAGTCGTGTTAGCGTCAGAGATTAGCCATTATCTCCCAACCTAATCCGTACGGCGTTGATGATATTAGCTCTGTCCATGCTTTTTCCCAAGATACACTAAGTGCCACACGTTATCACAACAAGCGACGGGAACACTGTATCTATGAAATGGTCGACTTAAATAGCAAACGAGGAAGACTAAATCACCTCAACCAGTATACAACTACCTGTGGTCTGTTATACCTACTTAAATGCGTAATGAAAATGATGATGATGATATTATTAATAATAATGTGAAGAAAAACCCTAAAATATGACACAATGTATGAAATAATAGGCAGTTTAAACAAACATACTTAGAGATAATTTGTATCTATCGTTATGGGCACGACTGAGTTCTTTGCAGCTTTTTTTTTTTGGGGGGGGGGGGGGAGGGGGGGAGGTCTCAAAGTGTTTAAGTTCCTAGGTTCCGTCGCCCCTGCTTCTATGAGCATATCATATTAACCATATTATACACCGTGCTCTCATTCTCGAACAGGACATTTATGGCTGGTTCAATATGACTTCGAGCTATGAGCCAGATCCTATTCTGATAACGAAAGGGGAGTGTACAATAAATACAATACAGTCAATACATATGTTGCTACTCAAAAGGAATGTCCCTACAAATGAAAGCACAGATCTGACTTTATATAATAAACTAGTCATTCTCTTGTAAACAAATACTTTTATAACGTCGCATTCTCAAACAGGACATGAATAGCTGGTTCAGTATGACCTCAAGCTATGAATCATCTCCTATTGCGATAACGAGGAGGGTGTGAATCCGAAAAATAACCTTGATAAGTCAAAGCTCGTTTACGTGCTTACAGACAAATAATCAGTTGCCCTGAACCAAACGTTGGTCCCTGCAGGGATCTATTATCCACAATAGATACATAAATTGCCGGTTAGCACTAAATATTGTTAACATAAATGCTTCAACTTCCTGTCTCTTGGAATTCGTGTTAACGATGATTAGCTGTGCAATATTTTGAGTAAGGACCAAGTGGGCGGTGTCTCCTCAATTTATGATTAAAAAAAAGAGGGAGGGTGATGGTAGAAATGACTTACGGTCAAAGGCTTGCGATATCCATAGTATCGAGCCAAAGGGTTAACAACTTATGGTTTCTGCATACTTTAGGAAAGGGAGAAGAAGAAGGAGGAGGAGGAAGAGAAGAAGTGGCATTAAGGGGAAGGGGGATGAGGAGGAGGAGGAAGAGAAGAAGAAGAAGAAGAAAAAGAAAAATAAAAGAAGAAGAGGAAAAAAAGACGAGGAAAAAAGAAGGATAAGAAGAAAGAAGAAGAAAAAGAAAAGAAGAAAGAAGAAGAAGAAGAAAGATAATAATAATAATAATAATAATAATAATAATAATAATAATAATAATAATAATAATAATTAATAATAATAATAATAATAATAATAAGAATAAGAAGAAGAAGAAGAAGAAGAAGAAGAAGTCATATAGTTAATTAGTATAAGTATTTTAAAAATTAATGATTACTGTAGTCTTTCCCATTCTATACTATTTTAGATGGCTGAACAGCTAAAAACGCCGGGTTTTCATGCAGGAGACCCCTGTTGAGATTCTTGGTTAGAATATGAACCTTTTTTATTTCGGTCGGTGAGAACAAATATCTCAACCTGCTCAGTCCGTGGCGACAACATTTGCCATCCATGGCTCAGAGGACCCCCCCCCCCTCCCCCCGAATCCCCCCCCCCGAATCCCCCCCCCCCACGTGTCATTTTTTGGTGCCTACATAGTAGAATTGGTAAATACAAGCAGTAATGTCAGTGGACGCTGTACACATGTATGCAGGGACCAGAAAAAGTACACCAATAATTACAATAGTTCAGTAGATGAAAATGTTGCCTGCAGTGATGTAGTCTTAAATCAAATAAAAAGGGAGTCTGAACAAGCAAATCTCTAGTAACAACACTTTACCACCACAAAGACACAACTACTTGCAGTTAGAAGACAAGCTGCACATGTGGTGTTATTATTATTATTATTACTATTATTATTATTATTATTATTATTATTATTATGGTATAGCTTGTTTGTACTTATATATAATGTATTGTTATAAAATGAAACTAATTAAAAGTAGATATATTTTTCTTATTGTATCTATGAAGCAAAGTGTGCCTTAGTTACATACACGGGGCTAGAGCTTCCAGGTTCCCGCATCCTTGCCTTTCACTAAAATGCACTTAATGCTTGAGAAAGGCCGCCCGGTCAAAACGTTACGTTGTGTTGTTTTGTGCCCGTTTTTTCTGCTTCCCCATTTTGTTGAGCTTTTTTGTCAAATTCCTCTGGAATTCCTTACACTAAATCATAATAACTGGCACCTTACCGTCTTTCCAGACGACAGTGTTATACTGCTCTATGAAGAGGCGTGGGACTCACAGCTCATGGCGACGGCGAGTGAAACTAGCAAGACCCACACGCTTTAAGGGAAGTCTTCCACCAATATAGCATGGGATTTCATAACCGTTGTTGTCAATATTTGTGTTTAACACACTACACTACAACTTAACACTACACCACTACCGATATATTTAAGTGTCACATTCATATATGGTCTTTTGTTTTCAGTGTCTTTTTTAGTGTATGTTTTACTGTATTTATTTATTGCCACTATAACCATTCACTGTATTGATTCTCGTATTCGGGGAGGGCTAAACGAAATGTCTCATGTACGATCGAAAACAGGCAGTGATTAATAATTTATCCACTGGCTGATTACGCCCTTTTAGAATCAGATCTGTTTCAACAGGTTGCACAAGGCACAATCAAATGGCATACAGATAAAAAGACAGACACAGCAACGAGACATACTTTTACAGAGAAAGAGACTCAGCGACAGAAACATAGTGAGTAGTCAGAAACATAGACATTAAATCACAGAGGCAGAGTTACTTACATAGACGCACATACAGAGAAGAGAGAGAGAGAGAGAGAGAGAGAGAGAGAGAGAGAAATAGAGAGAGAGAGAGATAGAGAGAGAGAGGAGAGAGAGAGAGAGAGAGAGAGAGAGAGAGAGAGAAGAGAGAGAGAGAGAGACTGAGAAAAGCCAACTGATGCACAGAAAAACAGGTACATAGGGTAACAGATTCACATATCAGTGGTCTCCAACCGTTTTCAGGCCACGCCCTCTTTGAGTATTTTGCATATTTTTTTCAGCGCTGCAATAGACAGACTGTAGTGTCTACCAGCACCTTTCATTACCACATTATGTTGTTAATTAGTTGCGTATCCTTTACAGGACGTTGCAGAACTAACACAAACATGTTTTTTGACTTTTGTGGTTTTTCTAGGCAAAATGTACGTTCAGTAGTTTGCCACTGCAATGAACGGTCAGCTCTCGGTAACACTGTCAACACCAACGCAGCACAAATCATCCGCTGCAGGGTTCGAACCCGGCACCCCAGCATTACAAGCTCGTTTGCAACGCAAAAGCCACAGACGCTGATTGTCGTAAGAACCGACACTTTTTCTAGGAAAAAAGTCTAGATCCATGGTTCTCTACCTTTCTAATTCCGCGACCCTGAAATAGTTCCTCATGTTGTAGTGACCTTCAGCCATAAAATCATTATCGTTGCTTCCTTATACCTTCAGGGAATTTATGTTTTCTGATGGTTTTAGGTCTGATCACGACCGGCTCCGGCTGAGGGTCATGCTACTGACGTCACCTGATCGGGCTAACGTAGAGGGTCTCAAACAAGCAATAAACTATTTTCGACAGCGGCGAGGGAAGACAACTTAAATTTTAATTTTTTTAAGTATCTACAGGCCTTATTTAATAATTTCACCATTTTTAACCGACTTTTCTTGATTATTGCCGCGGCACCCCTGTCATACGCTCACGGCTGCGTTAACGCATCGTTAGCCCGACCAGGTGACGTCAGCAGCACGACCCGTCAGCTGGAGCCGGTCGTGGTCTGATGGTATTTCGATCCCCAAAAGAGCCGCGACCCACATGTTAAGAACCGCAAATCTAGATGATAATTATGATAATAATGATATAAATATATAATGTGTACCGGTGTGTGTATGGATTCGAGGAAAGAAAAAGAACAAGAATGTGAAAACATTGGAAAAGTAACAGTAAGATAAAATGATAAAATCATCATCATCAGGTGCCTTGCCGACTGGCGTGGGCGATCATGCCTCTCCATAATCCACGATCTCCTGCAGCAATAATCAGTTCGTTTGCCGACACACCTCCATGCCGTGCAACAAGACTGTCAAGAATCTTCTCTCGTTGTCTTCCTCTATCCCTCAAAATTAAAACAGATTATTTCACAGTTTTAATTAAACAACAAATTCTTACCTTTGTAGGTTGACCAGTCTTCATTTTAATTACGACGCTGTTTTCAGCGATGACCCGAAATTCTGCATCTTTGTGGCTGTCAGTTTTTAACTTCAGCTCGCTAAATCTGGGCTGCCCTCCCAGAAAACCACCAGCCAGTTGTGGTTTCGACATATCGAATAGCCTTCAGTCACTTCTTTGTACGTTTAAGGTAATGAAAATATGGAGAAGATAAACCTCACAGGAGCCAAGCCAATGTGCTTGCACTGCAAAACGACGGACGTTTAAAAATGTATGTCTTGTATGCGAAGTATTTTATCCAATATATTTATTCATACACGACCACGTGACATTCTCACTTGTTCGCGACAAGTTTATTTCAGACCATGGTCGACTGTTTGGATTTGTTGCTTGGCGACAGTATTTTGCTTGACCTAATTCACGGACGTAGAGTTGCACAGGTGAAGCAAACGGCTTCTGTTTCATCTTAACGCAAGAGCTTCGTCGTCAGTCGGGACAGTATTTTGGGTCTGTCTCTTTTGATCGCAAAAACACTACAAGAGTTCCATTTTGTAGGACACACATAAACCTAGTCGCAGTTATAACCAACATATCTCCTCTTTGGGGGATGCTGATTGAACGTGGGGTTTTGTTGTTGTTGGAGCTGGGGCTGTGGGGAAAAGGGGGGGGGGGGAGGTTAGAGTTAGGGCCATTTCTTTATGTTTTGGAACATTTAAAACCGCTTACGTCGTGGAATGTAAACACGCGAGATCGCCGGCCAATGACAATAATAAATAACATACAACGTGTTAGTGGCAGGTTACTAAGCGTGACACTGCTCACAACTAAAGTAGATTCCTGTCGTACTTGAAGTCCAAGAAGGCTAAAATATACGCAATGTAAGCCCCTCGGTTCTATATTAATATCCCTACCCTAAGATGACGTTATAGGAAAGTCCAACATTTCAGAGGGAAGTAAGACTGGGTTTCCCGGCTTTTTTATGCTTGTAACGACCTCAAAACATATAGAAATGACTCTAGCCCAAATCCACCTACGTCCAACGAGAGAGTGCAGCCTATGTCCCATGAATGCATGCAGCTTAGGTACTAAGACTGCAAGCAGCCTATCTACCTTCTTCTTCTTCTTCTTCTTCTCTTCCACCTTGTACCTCATCGAAGTGTCGGGGGGAGATGTAATATTCGTTGATGGGCTCTGTCATGAGCACTATTAAGACTGATGTTCATATCTGTAAGGCTGTTCTTAATGCCATCACTCCATATTTTCCGAGGTCTTCCACTCGCTGTATACCCATTGTAACATTTTAGCGTGGCTCGCTATGGCAGATAGTACTAGGAAATTCTTGTTAGGTGTCCAAACCACCTCATTTGTTGATCTTTAACGACCTGTAAGACTGGCTTTATTCCTAGCATTCGTCTGATTTCATGATTTCGTATTCTGTCTTTCCTTGAAACTCCTGCAACTCTTCTAAGGTATTTCATCTCTGTTGTCACAATTTTACGTTTAGTGGAGGTTGTCTGTGTCCACGTTTTGGCATTGATAGCATAGTGTTGGCCAAAAAATAGTTCTGATAAGATTCACTTTAGTACTCCAAGGTATCTGCTTGTGTGTCAACAGGGGAGATAGTTGACCCATTACTTGATTAGCTTTGGCACATATGGAGCTAATTTCTCTGTCTAGTTTTCCGTCTGATGTAAAAATTTCTCCCAAATACTTAAATAACTCTGTGTGTCTCAGGGTGTTGTTTTTTAATTTAATTTCTAAATTGTCTTAATGTCTTCTTATCATCATTGTCTCTGTCTTCGTAATGTTTATTTTCAAATTATATTCCTCCCCTTTGTTACTAATTTGATTTAGATGGTTCTGTAGGCATTCCGTATTTTTTGCTATGAGTACCTGGTCGTCGGCGAATAGTAATTCTGTAATATCTTCTTCATGATTAAAGTTCGTTTCACTACATATGGTATCCATGTATGTTATAAAAAGAAGCGGCGGTAGTACACAGCCCTGACGCACACCAGAGTTCACTATAAAAGTTCTTGACAACCCTGCCTTCGATCTTATGCAGCATTTACTACGTGTGTACAGGCTTTTGCAAATATTAATGAGATGGTTGCTGATTCCTTTTTTTCCCCATACATTCCACAACATATTCCTGTCGACTCTATCGAAAGCTTTTTCTTGGTCTATGAATGTCAACAAACATGTCTTATCATGTTCTATTGCCCTCTCTGATAGTTGTCTCAATGTATAAATGGCATCTGTGCAACTTCTGTTTCGTCGAAAGCCCCGGAAATATTAGACCGTCCCGTGACCTGTGGATTTCCCCTATTTGAGGTAGGTTACACCAGTTTCTCTCCCTCACAAATATTGTTGGGCGGGTTCAAGAGACCTCTACCTCCAGGTTCCTTCGCCTATGCCAGAAATGATAATTAGTTAAGTAATCAGCATTGAACTCAAGACTTTCGCCCCAACAGACGCGCGTCAAGGTGCAGTCCATGGACACATCACAAAACAGGTAGGGGTGAAGTCACATGATGGCCCATGCCAGTAGTCTAGGGCATCACGATTTAATGAGTTTGTCAACCAGGAAACTCCGTGTGTAAACACAGCTTATCATTTGTGACGTTAGCAACATCATAACAGCCGAAACCGTCATCTAATCACGCGAATACAAACAAGTGTTTTTTTTTTTTTTACTATGCTTTTCTATATTTGACGTTACTAAGCGCTTTGCTCGAACTTTCTCAGCTGTGTGCAACAATCCGCTTGGGTGGAGATCTATGACTCATTCATGTCGACGCGCAGATATAACACTTAAGATATTCACAAGCTGTGGCTGACAAACGGGGGGGGGGGGGGGGGGTGGAGAGGGGGGGGGGGGTAGTGGTGGTGGCTTGGAGGGGGTGGGGATGTTGAATACATTTGTCGAATCCGCGTTTGAAAGGTGTATTTTGTACTTTCAGCTGTTTTGTCATCGATACATCCTGCTTGTTTCTCAATATTTGGCAACATTTTCGGTGTTGGAGCCAGCTTGGTGTAACGGCTAGACGCTCGCCTGTGGATCTGAAGGTCGTTGGTTAGAACCCTGACGGAGTCGGACTTTTTCAAAGAATAACTTGGCTTCCAGGTCTACCCAGCCGTAAATGGGGTATCAGGTAGAACCCTAGAAAGTAAAGGCGACAGGCGTGATGTTTACCACATCACAGACCGAGTGCTGATTGTTGTGTTTAATATAGGTATAGCACTGTATGCCCAATAAGCCTGAAAACTTGGGAAAGGACACTACGTAATTTACTTATTTTCTGTGCTAAGTATGCGAGAATTTTCAAATAAGTAAAAAAAAAAAAAAAGTGAATTTGTTCACTAACCCACTGTACGTTTATCGATCACTATATCGGTTAGTTGAGTATCCTTTACAGGACGTTGCAGAACCAACCCTAACAGCCCCTGGCTGTTGTGTGGTTTTTCTAGGCAAATTTACGTCAAGTAGTTTGCCATTGCCCGCTGGACGGTCGGCTTTCTTTATACCACTGTCGAAACCAAAGCAAAGACGCATGGCCCGCAGCTGGGATCGAACCCGGCATCCCGGCATTATGAAACGTTTGCATCGACTTAGCCACAGAGCACACGATCACTTTATACAAGGTATATATTTTTTAACTTTCTTCATTTTATTTTTCTCTTACGTCAGTGTGTTTCTCCCAGTGGTTGCTTCGTTAGCTTTGTATAAATTCTTTGAAGAGCACGACACGTTCAACAGGTGTAACGTTGTCAATGAGATCAATTAAATCAATGTCATTGGAAAATACGAAACAAATAGAACTGAAAGAGTAAAAAGCAAGAACATCTGTGTTCCTGCAGCCTTATTTTGTTTTTAAATCACCACACATGACTAGATCTCTCGCCGCACAGAGGACGTTCGCTCGTCGAGAAAGTCTCACAAAGCATGAAACAGGATTGCGCCAATGAGGATCCCCATGTATATTCGATGAAATGTACTTGCGACCCAAAGAGAATGAGGCTTGAATCGACTCCACAACCCCTAGGGAGGTAGGCAATCGGCTTATATATAATTTATATGCAGACAATCATAGAGGATTTGCACTTTTATATTAAAAATAAAAAAACAATCATTCGAATGACAACAGACCCTCAGATACAGATGGAATTTAGGACAAAAATAAGGAGGGGAGAACGCTCAAGATGCCTTATCATAGTTTAGGAGCACAATAATAATAAGTACAATAATGTGCTGTATGGTAAATTAATATAAAATATATTAAAAATTAAATATAAAGCATGAACAAACACTTTTGAAGAGAACTTCTTTACATGGAGCCAAGAAAAACAGCAGTGAAAACCAAACTTTACCGGTCGCCGAGTGAATGAAATGAGACAGTGAGTTCATACTGGAGACAACACTACAGATATAGATAATTATTTCAAGGGAACGATAGAAGAAGAAGAAGAAGTAGACACTTAAAGCAAAAGCGTTAAAAAAAAAAGACAGACGGATGTACAACCAGACAGTTACTGCTACCATCGGAGCCGCAACTCTTCTCTTGCTACTGAAGATATAGGGGTGTCCCGAGTACTACGATGTAATTTCCTATAATTCAACATTCAGCGTAAAAACCAAGCACATTAATACACATTTGTTGTTTATGACCTTCACTTTATACGAATCTAAAGTATTTTTTAAGCCATCACGGTTAAAAAGGACACAAATGAAGAGATCGAAATCAGCAGTTTACGTGCAGTATACTTGTAAATAAATGTTTTAGTTGTCAGACAGAAATGTGTATAAAATACTTCAGTGGCATAGTGTGGTTGGAAATCCCAGGCATTGAAATGCCAACAGCTGATATCCGGTTACCGTTATCTTATCGTCAAGAAATGTTTGGCAATGTGACGCTGACATGTCTGAGAATGTATCCCAAGATGGGCGGTTATGCTCACGCATCTGGAAATAGGCTACTTTGTAAAACCAGGCAGATTACTTCCATTGACAAGACTGGTCTCTCTTTACGACGCACTTTAGCGAAGTAAAGGACCCTTTCCCACGACCTTAGACGTTTTGGGTATATAGTGTTATACCAATATTTTACAGATCAGTCGACGCTTGATGGCGGATGTTAGCAACACCACACCGG